ATACATTTGAGAACACATCAAAAAGGACAATTGAAAGAAAAAAGAAAAAAAAAAAAAAAATCCAAAAGCACATTGGAGGGTACTCACATATAACATCTCTAATGCCATTTTTGGTCCAACTAAATCAGATTATTGCAGTCTTACGTCGCCAAGAACGGACGCCGCATAAGTCATTATTACAAGTACAGTATCATAGATAAAGTTTTAAACAATATGCTAAGGACGAAATATGAGAATATAGGAAAGGAAAAGGTGTGTAGGGTAGGCAAGCTAGATTAACTTGAGATATCAAGGTGGCAATACGAGTGGTTTATAGCGGCAGTCAGCCATTTGGGACTAGGCAGGTGAGATCAGCTTACCGATTCATACATTCATACTGATTTCGAACTGTGTGATAAAAAGCCGTACAGCCATGTTTATCCTTAAGATTGGCTACTACAGAATTCACATCTAGGAGAGCGACAATACTCACTTATGAATAGGACCTAGGGATGTACCTCTTAGACTATGTACCTTATAGTAATCGTGGCAAGCGGATTAAAGCCATACACGTTTCGTTATTATAGACACTACAGGATAAATAATCTAGTACGGATTTTTTTAAAATTGAACGATTTCATAAAACTTATCAACTGTATGCAATGCCATTCCTATGTTCGAATGCGGCAAGAATCTTCCCATATCCAAATAGCATCCAACGCCTGTCTCTATTTCATCACTCATCACTATCTTCAATAATTGGTCTGTTCGGTTTCGGACCTTTAAGTTTCGACCCGCTACTAAACAAAAGGCTAGCATCCATCAGCTCAAAATCGGAGCCAGAATCACCAAAGTCATCATCATCTATGAAGGCAAAGGGATCATTCTTCTGCTGTGGTTCACGATCGGGAGATAACACAGAAACAACCTCCCCGCTAGCGGGGGTTGTAGTGGCCTTGGTGAAAGCTCGTCGAGCAGTACTTTTGGACGGTGTTTTCAAGGGCTTCGGGTTGCGCCGAGGCTTCTTAGTTGAATCACCCTGGACCGTTTGACTGGAGCCATCTGGCGAGGGGGGTTCGCGGGGTTCGCGGGCCAAAATCTCTTTGAATCGATGGTCACAGTCAGGACCGGTCTCGTGCATCTTCTGTAATGCTTTTACCATGCGTTGCGTGAGAGATCCATGCTTGACGTTCTTTGTGGGTCTTTCGGTGAGTTGCAAACGTGGAAAGGCGTCGTTGCGAGGGAATCGGATGAACTGCGGAGAAGTGGCACCGATGTTCTGATAATGGTGTTCAAGGTCATTTTGCTCGCCCGTGCTAAGAACAACATCCTCCACCGATGGAACATCCACAGGCTCGGGTGTGGGGGTTCGGGGTCTCTTTTTAGGGATGGCTGCTTTCTTGGGTGCACTGGCTTTCTTTTTTTGGGATTTGTCACTACCCAAAGTCGAGGCTCGAGTAAACCCTGTCTCTACATCATCTGGCATGTGGAAAACCTTGGCAGGTCGCCTCGGTGCTCGTCCTTTGCGTTTCGGCTCGGGGAGTTCTCGCTGCGAGTTCTCCGGAGGTATATCGATATTTCGTTTATCAGGCACTGGATGGACGCCCGCGGGCAAGATGCGCGCAGAACGATCGTCGTGAAACGTGAACCGAGCGCCACTGGCAATCATTTGCTGCATCTTTTCGTAATTATCTTTGGCTTTGATGTACGAGTCTTCTTCTTTGCCTTTCATCAATAGTAGAGTGATGTTACCAGCCCGCTTACGGCCAGTTCGACCCATGCGCTGCAGCATGCGAATGGGCGATGCTGACGAGTCATAGCACACGATTAGATCGACCTCTCCAATATCCAATCCTTCCTCGCCAATGGAGGTAGCAACGATCGTGTTGTATGTGCCTTTCTTGAAATCCTCAATGATTCTGAGCTGTGTCTTCTGGTCCATGCCTTCAGAGCCTTTGGCACTTGACTGACCCACGAAAACATGAGGCCGAATCATGGGCTCGTATCTTTTGAGAACTCTCGTGACTTCTTCGGCACTGTCACGGAAATGCACAAAGATCATGACACGAGTGGCAGGGTGACCAGTGCCGTCAAGCAACTCTTTCCCTTCACCCCTGTCCATAAAGTGATTTAAAATAACGGACTTGAGATATTCCAATTTCGGATGGCCAATGAACTCTGAATTCTTACTCCATGGTTCAAGATGGCTGAGTAGTTTCTTGAAACTATCATCTTGTACAACTTGCTTTTGGTATTTGCCACCTCCGCCTTTCTGTCCCTCGGAGGTTGATTTGAAATGAATGACATGGCGATAGAATGGCACAATGCCATGGTATTTGAGGAGGTCAATGGCGTGGGCCAAGCTAGCAAGAACAGTAAAAATGGAATTGACTTTGCCTTTCAAGCCGAAATTAGCATTCCGACCAGCGTCGGACTGCATCCATTGCTGCCTCGCCACTGTGAGACCGTACGCAGTCAGTCCCATAGGGTCACGTCCCCAGTAGGCGTTGAGAGTCCGGAGTTGGTCAAGCAAGGGCTGCAAGGCAGCAGACATGAGATCCATACAGAAAATCATTTCGTCTGAATTCTCAAATGTTTCGATTTCGATATTGCGAGCGTGAACGTACTCGCGAATGTCGATCGAGTTTTCCGTACGGATTTCGACACGTGCTATGTCTAGGCCATCAATAACCGCCTGTACCGATTCGACTGTTGAGCCCGGTGTTGCTGTAAGTGCGAGGACGCGGAAACTGTTGTTGAAGCGCCGAAGGAATTTGACAACCTCCACATATGCATACGCACCCGTCGCGCGATGAGCTTCATCAACGACCAATAACACGATTCGCTTGGGATCGGCGATTCCGGTTTTTAGGTCGTTGATCAGTGTTTGGGGTGTCATGAAAAACACTCGCTTTGATTTCCACTCTTCGGCGCGAATTCCCGGCGATGCCCCTCCTGTGAGCATGGACGACTCCGAACGTGGGATTCCGGCAATATCCAAGCAGGCCGATACCTGCTGCGAAACCAAGGGTTTCGTTGGTGCTACAAAAATAATTTGTGAATCTTTCGTCCAGCGAAACCAATTTAGCATAATTGTAGCTGCTATGAATGTCTTTCCCAAACCCGTTGGCAAGGCCACGAGTAGATTATGAAACAGTCCTGCCTGAGTGATGTTGAACTGGTAATCTCTGGTTTTACCCAAGTTCGTGGGGTAGACCCATGTATCCAAAGCATCTTTGGCAAGTTTGTGTTGCGTCGGTGGTTCGGTCCTCTCTGACGGGCCACGGTCTTGTTGACGCGGTACCAAGACCTCAGGGTTTGGAGCAACCATGCCGAATAATGTGCTCTGTCTGAGATGTGGTTGTCGAATTGGGCCTCGGGGTTGACTGAATTGCGTGGATGCAGGATGGACTGGTCGTGCTACTGGTGACAATGATGGCGAAGAATCAAATGCACCTTCAGGTATGTCCTCTAGCTCAAGCGGAACATTCGCCGACGTGTTTGTCTTTTCCGCCGGGGCAAGCTTTTTGAGAGCAGTATTGTTTGATAAACTTTGGGGGCTTAATACCGCTCTGGTTGTTTTCTCCTCCTCAAATGAATCTAAGGAAGCTGCGATAGCGGCCATCAACTCCTCATCATCATGGGTATAATTCCTGTCCTGTCCACCATCGCCACCACCATCTTGTAACCTGGTTTCAAATTTTGGCGGAGAAGGTTTTTTAACGGGCTTCTGCCATCGTGGACCTCGTATTCGTTCCGGGCTTGAGGAGGGTTGGGTGAGTTGCGTGACGAACATGTCATTTTGGACACTAGCCTGCTTCAGTACACAGCTCTTATTTCTGGGGCGATCCTGGTATTCTTCGAAGCCATGAGATGATTCTTGGCTCCGCGAGGGCAAATCATCATCCTCCATATCAGAGAATGTGTCGATCGAAGAACCGTCATCCTGACCTTCGCGCTCTTCCCCGCGATTTCGAATACGGCGGCGTTTTGCGGGACGGGAGGGGCCATCGGGGGTTCCAGGGACTACGAAGTCGTCATCGTCGAAGTAATCCGACTCGGAATCTGTCGACATCGCGTGGATAATTGAAAGGCATTCCCATTGCACTACATATGTGCAACGGTCTCGCGTTGCGTCGCGTAGTCAGGTGACGGGTTATGTTTGTATGGTTTGCACTTGACCCTACTATGTATTGCCCAGTTAAGCGCCAATCTTTGAATGCACTTCATCTCTCAAATGGCCAAGCCTAGATGAACTACGGGGGTATATGCTACCTAAATCGGTTTGAGAAATTTAAATCGCACACTTGTTTATCATATTGAACATGTGCCTAACCCCATCGCCCCTTATGTTCCGTTTCGATATTCCACATGACAAACAGGAGCCCTATTATTGTGTACAATGTGCTCTGTACTGCTTACAACCCCAAGGTTGTCTTTTCTGCTCTTTGTGACTTTCAAGGTTCTCCTGCCAAGCCCTTAGAGCCAATAGGAGTTGACAATATACTACAGTGAAAAAGAAATTGGTCCCTTGCTCACACGCTAATGCCTGGAGTCAATCAATATTGTCCAATTTGACAGTTTTGCTGTCCCCCAAGGCCTCAATTTGCGACAAAATAAAAACCCCCTTCCTAAGGGGGAAAGGGGGAGATTATCCTACACGATATCCTTGTCCGGGAAAGTAAGATCATCGTGCATCACCTGGATGGACTTGTCCGTCGAAGCCAAAGCGCCAACTCTAACATCCTCAGATTACATCTGAGACATCACGAATGGGAATTTGTGGCATACCCTCTTTTTTTTTTTTTTGTCTCTGGGGTTTGTTTTGAGGCAAAGTCCATGACAGATCCAAGGGCGTCCGTTTGCCTTGTAGGCTTGTTATCAATAATATTTAATACTTCTCTGTCTGCCCTCCTCCCACCCCATATCTCTGCCACTCTTTTCTTCAATAAACCGTCACTACTTCCCATCAATTTTTCTCTTAGTTGATTTAATCATTTCTTGATACACTTTCACCCAACATGAAGTTCAGCATCCTTGCTCTCTCGGCCTTGCTGGCTTTCGCTGCTGCCGCAGACACTACCACCGTGAGCTGAGTGCGCAAAGAGCTGTAAGCTATCCTTTCTCACTCTCGCCTTTAGTTTGATACTAATCCAGCTCAACTCTAGGCGAAGCCACGGATATCTGCTGCACAGCCAAGTGCTACCATGTGCCCTGTCCCAGCGAGAACCAGGTAAATGACACCAACGACTGTGTTTCTGCCTGTCCCAAGGGCACTGGCTCTCCGGCCGACATCCAGAAGTACGCCGAGTGTGAGCAGTCCTGCTATAACTCGCACTTCTGGGGTGGCAATGGCAGTAGTGCAACTGCTACCCACTCTTCCACAACCTCCACTGGCACCGGCAGCACTGCCACACAGACTAGCTCCGACTCGTCGAGCACTGATTCCAAGAGTATGTATATATTCATAGTTGTTAATACGTAACTCTGCTAACATCAACATTCAGCTTCGGGCAACAATGATAGCAATGAGAACAACGACAACGATGACTCTTCCTCCTCGGGCACTGCTACCAGCTCCTCTGGATTCTCGCAGCAGACCGCTAACGGTGCTGCTAATACCAAGCTCGGCGCCTCCGCTGCTGGCCTCTTGGGCCTGGTTGTTGCTGCCTTTGCTCTGTGAGCAAGATGGATTAGGTCTTCGGTATACTGCCTTGTAATTCGGCATGGTCATACGGGACTGTACTTGATCTGGATATATGAGGGTCCTGTTGGCCATGTAACATGATTTTACTTTCTTCTGTGTGATATGGAGCCTTTTTTTCTTTTTGAATCGAGTGATAATAATTTTCAACTGGTGTACTCACATTCAACCAAAACCTTGTAAAGTAATCTCTCGACAGTCTATTGGTCCTAACCACAATGCCTTCTTATGGGTTGACGCGAAAAAAAAAAAACGAGTCGAGTATCATTCACCGCCAAATTTGTTTACTGCGGGGGAAATTCCGTGTTTTTCTTCAAAATACGGTGCTGTTGGCTAGGGACATAGCAACGAATAGTTACCTTCCTATAAAAGTTCAACTTGCCCTGTTTGGCTTAAGTCCTGGGTACCATTCAATTCGTACCATCGGACCGAAAAATCCCCCAATTCCCCAACAACCGGATTGAAAGCGCCCACAATGGATGATACCAGCGAGGAATTCCAAGCGCTCTTCAGCGAGATGTCTGCTTTCGTGACAGACTGCATGTCAGGACACGACCCATCTCATAACCCAGCACATGTACACAGAGTGGGGGCGCTCGCCAACAAGATCCTGGAAGCAGAACGGGCACTGCACCCGACAACACAATACAACGGGGCAGTTGTCAAACTTGCAGCACTGTTGCATGACATTGGTGACAGAAAGTACCTTTCCAAGATGAATGCAGCTCCTGGAAGCGAACAACTCGACCCAACGACGATGGTGCAGCATGCGCTCCTTGCGCGGGGTGCGACGCCAGAACTCGCATCCAGGGTGCAGACGATCGTGTCACATGTTTCTTATACGACTGAATGCAAAGATCCGACGTTGATCCGAAGGATGGTTGAGGAGGATGGGTTTGTCGAGCTTGGCGTTGTCCAGGACGCTGATCGACTTGATGCCATTGGAGCTGTTGGAATTGGCAGGTGTTTTACCTTCCTTGGAGCTGTAGGGAAGAAGTACTGCGTCGATGGGAAATGGGAGATGGATAATTCCATTGAGCATTTTGGGGACAAGTTAGTTAAGCTAGAGGGGATGATGAAGACTGCCACGGGGAGGGCGATGGCTAGGGTACGGACGGAGAGGTTGAATGTCTTTGCAGGATGGTGGCAGGAGGAGATAAGTCTCGCTTCTGGTTCTCCCTGAGAGACAGAAAATTCCATTTACATATATCCATGGAAATTTATTTTCTCCATTACTTGCAAAAACTCTGAAGATCCAATAATCCGACAATGGTCTGTCTTTCCTATTAAAATCTTGTAAAGTGGGCGTATTTCATACGGTAAATTCAGAATCAATTCAGAATCAAAGATAATGAAAGATACTCAAAAAAAATGTTTCGATACACATATCTGTAGCTATATGTTTGTGTGGTCTTTTCTCGTCTGTTTATAGATGCTGTCGAAGGTGATATACTGCGCTTGTTATAGATATCACGTACTGCCACGCAAGTAGCCCGAAATATGCACGCACCTCATCCGCCCAAGATCAACACCGCCATTCATCAAGCAACAGGTATACAACCAACCTTCGCAACCATGGCTGATGCACAATTTGACAGCGCGCTGTGAGTAACCCATCTCACAATTAATATGGCACTACAGAGCCCTTTACCTCCCAACCATGACACCCGCCTTGACAATCTCAGACCCCGAGGCAACCCCGCCCAATGCAGTCGGGGACAAGTGAACTAACCACCCCTTCTGCAGCGACCTCCTTCGGCGCCTGAACCCACGGGATACTAAGACCAACTTGCAAGCCATCACGTCAATTGTCCCCGAGCTCACCGAAGACCTCCTCTCCTCCGTTGACCAGCCCCTGGAGATTCGCCGTTGCCCGCAGAGCAACCGCGACTATCTACTCTGTGACTACAACCGCGACGGTGATAGCTACCGGTCACCATGGAGCAATGAATTTGATCCTCCGCTTGAGGATGGTACCGTACCAAGTGAGCGAGTGCGCAAGCTCGAGATTGCCGCCAACGAGTCATTCGATGTTTACCGCGAGCTGTACTATGAGGGAGGAGTGGGGAGTGTGTATTTCTGGGATCTGGACGATGGATTTGCCGGCGTGATTCTATTGAAGAAGGGTGCGTTATTGAATGACCACAGATTACTTTCTACGCTTTAGATTGCGATTGACTGTTTTTTTGATTAGGTGTCACCCCGGGTTCCCAGAGCTCCGGCGAATGGGACAGCATTCACGTTTTCGAAGCCACCGACCGCGCTCGCATGTCCCACTACAAACTCACTAGTACCGTTATCTTGCACCTGTCCAACAAAACTGAGGCTCTTGGTGATATGGACCTCAGCGGGAACATGACTCGCCAGGTGGAAGTGGATCTGCCTGTGGAGTCGGATGCTAGCCATGTCGCCAATGTGGGCAGGCTGGTGGAGGATATGGAGTTGAAGATGCGAAACTTGCTACGTATGTTTCTTTCTCTCATCGCCATTTAATGGCTTGAGGGGTTTATGCTGACCTAGGCTTTCATATCACAGAGGAGGTTTACTTCGGCAAAGCAAAGGATGTCGTTGGCGAGCTCCGAAGTAAGTGGATGCATATAATATCCATGCCATTGCAATATGCTAACATGAACCTAGGCTTGGGTCCATTGTCTGATGCGAACAGAGACCGGGAAACCCAGCGGGAAATGATCATGTCCATGCAGAAGTAGCCATATTTACTGTTCCGACAAACATCCTGCTCGGCTAGGCTGATGAACTATACCTGTCGTTGCGTTTTCGTTTTGTATAGCGTAGTTCTGTGAATATACTCGAACACCGATCCATACACACTTTTCGCCTAGGATTGGTTACATTATACTTGGCACTCTGTAAATATACTCATTGTATTCGTAGTTTCCATGCCCGTGGCAGGATATAGCCTGGGGTATCATAAACGCATGAAGCAAAATCAACCAATCGCGCCGAATGAACAGATAGCACCTCATTCAATCCACCTGCATGTCCTCCGGTTCATTCGCTGGCCGAGAATCCTTGCTTGTCTCGGAAGGCTTCTGCATCTGCTCAACGAATTGACGAGCAGCCGCCCACAATTCAGCCTCCTTATCTTTTCCAACTGTATCCTTTCGGCTATTGAGCCGACTGATATCCAGTGAGTTTGGAGCTCGCGATTTAGAACCAGCAACTCCTTCGTTTCTGGCTCCAGCTTTTGTATCCCCTGCGCGTGAGGCCCTCTCAGGTCCTACGAGAGAGGATTCCTCTAGGGAGTAGATCTGGCGGCGGAGGAAGACGTCGGCTGAGGAGAGAAGAGCGAAGTATTTTGCGCTTGCTTCTTTGAACCGCGTTTTGTGCGAGTCGAGTGATCCATCTGGTGCAACGGAAGAGGGGTCCGGTTTGGCATTGGTCAAGGCTTGGATCGCGAGACCAGCAGATTGAAGAAGTTTGGTAATATCCTAACAAATAAGAATCAGTAAATGGTTCATCATAGTTTATATGACCGTAGTACCTTGTCCATATCATTCAGCTGTCGAATGCGATCGGCGGAGGTAAAGCTAGGTAGCTCTTGCGGCGGTGCGTCTTCGCTCATGTTGACTGGCTGGGGGTTGTACGAAGGTAATCTTTTTAGACTGCTCTGTAGGAATCAATTTCTACCGGCTTTTCGATTGTAGAACGAGAGATCGAGATCGCCGTGGAGATTGGGATGCTTGTTAGTTGAGGTCACGTGCTGTAAACTGGGGGAGATCTTAATAAGCGGTGAGGTAGGCCAGCTCGTCGGGATATCAAATTCAAGATATCAAATCCACTATTCTATCGTTGAACGCTCAAAGTCCCATATACCTTTGGGCGCTATATACATTAGACAAAACACTGTTAGCTGACCATCTAAGTCCATCATATAAATCGCCGACGATTGTACGCAACCCTGCTCTGTTGCCATCCACCGCCGCAATTTGAGGATCTGTCTCGAAGTTGTCGTCGATTTGTTGTCGATTATGTCGGCACCAGGCGGGGCCCCAAGCCCTGGACCTCGCAGTGGCAGTATGGGACCAGGTGTAAATGGCAATGGGATGGCGATGCCTTCCCAGCAACCATTGTCTGGAACTCCCGTTCATTCTGCACCAACTCCAGGACCCAGTGCACCACCAAGTGGTGCTATGTCACAACAGAATTTGAACCAAATTGTAGGTACCGTTGTGATTTATTTCTGCGTTCGAGAAATTTTCTTCATCCCCCTTTGTTGTCCTTTTGCGAGCTCCTTGCACGTTATGTCCGTCCTATGTCCTATGTGTTTCGGAATCAGCCGAGTTTGAGAAGCTTGGTATATGGCAACGTTTTCACTGGATTCCCCCAGAACATTATGGCGGATTCAAGACAGGGGACTCTAAGAAATTTTTCCTCAACACCGACGATATTGAAGATGTCACGAGCCCTGGAGCACCCCGTTCATTAGTTATTGCAGCTCTTGGATGATGATCGAGGTCCATGATTGATACCCTAAGATAGGGCACGACAACTTCGGTGGTTTTGTTGATGTGACAAGGCCAGGACTCGTCCATTGGTCATTGCTACCTGTGGATGGTGACGGAAGTCCATGACGGCGGACCGCGCGGGTTTCTCTGCAATTTCGACAATATGGTTCATTTCACAGACCTTGAAGAGCATTGCTATCTAGCTTTTATTGCCTAACGCGCGTTCAAGGTCTGTGACTGAGCACCCGAGGCCTCACAACTCAGAGTCATCCACAACTTTCTTCACGCGGTTCTCACCAACAACCATTCTTCACACTTTCACGATCATCATTTACCTGTCAACCCATACTTTTCTTTCATCTTTACATAACACACACCACCTTCGCAAAATACCACCAGAACCGCTGTGGCTATGCCAACTCAAGACGAGGATTGGCAGCCTTCTCGCCGGCGCGCAGCTCGGCGCCCATATCCGGCCTCTCCAACCAAGAAGACCAAGAAGGGACAAAA